TCATTTGCTAACTATGCCAACTATCACAATTCTGTAACAAAACACCGGCACTAGTTGATGTGACATTTTATAAACAAGGTTTGTCATTTAATGAAAGTAAATGATGTGTGGCTAGTGACTAAACATGAGATAATTGGTGAAATTTGACAAAGGTCTATGGACTACATAATAGCATTGTATAAGTGATCAATTCTTCTTTAATTTTTTTTATTTTATTAAAATAGAGATGGGATTTCACTGTATTGCCCAGGCTGGTCTTGAACTCCTGGGCTCAAGACATCCTCTCGCCTCAGCTTCCCAAAGTGCTGGGATTACAGGAGTGAGCCATCGTGCCTGACCAAGTGTTTTTGTTTGTTTGTTTGCTTGTTTGCTTGTTTCTTTTTTTGACAGGATCTCACTCTGTCACTCAGTCTGGAGTATAGTGGCACAATCTTGGCTCATTGCAACCTCCGCCTCCCAGACTCAAGTAATTCCCATGCTTCAGCCTCCCAAATAGCTAGGATTACAAGAGTGAGCCACCACATCTGGATAATTTTTGTATTTTCAGTGGAGACATGATTTCACCATGTCGGCCAGGCTGGTCTTGAACTCCTGAGCTCAAGCGATCTTCCCGCTTTGGCCTCCCAAAGTGCTGGGATTGCAGGCATAAACCTCTGCACCCAGGAAGTGTTAATTTCTTAATCTTGGTAAGTGTATTCTTGTTATATGTAAGTGAAAGTCCTTATTCTATGGAAAATGTACACAAACATAGTTAAGAGTTAAAGGGGCATCATGTATACAAATTACTACCAATGTTTTGATAAAACAATTACAGAGTAAGAAAGAAAGAATAAATTGGTAAAATATTAACATCTGAAGAATCTGGGTACACAAGAATTCCAATTACTAATTGTTCAAATTCTCTGTGACTAAAAACCTTTCAAATTAAAAAGGTTTTAAAAAATATCTTACAAAACATATTACTCTTCTTCATGATGATACTCAGTAAATAAACTATTGCCAAAATCTGCAATGCTGTTCATCACTTTGAGGGGAGGAGCAAAGCAATAGACAACAGCATCCTCACAGAAGCTTTTACACACACACACACGTGTAAAGTAAATTCAAATAATCATTTCAATTACATATCCCTTACAATCTGGTTCATTACATTATTTTGATGCATGTATGTTACTCATCACAATACATACTTTTAAAAATAATTATGCCCCACAAAGTCCTGATAAAATATTTGGTTCATTATAATGTCATTTCTAAAACAATAAACACTTTGAATACCAATAAAATCAAAATCTTTCATGCAAATTTTTTTATAATATGCATACTTATGTGACTTAAGAAACTGCATTTCTCTCCTCTCCAATTTGGACAGTTGAGGCTCACATCTAAATACACAGAGGCAACAGACATGCAAGATTTTACATTATAAAGATCTGTTTTAAGATAATCTTTGGAAATTCACTGAATCTTTAGAAATATACTGAAAACAAAATGATGGACTCACTTACGTTGAGCATGTAAGGAGAGAAGAAAAAGGTCAGAGATAGAAATAACGTGATAGATAACACATTTTTAAGTATAGATAGATTCCTAATTCCATCTATAAAATGATATATACAAAAAAGATACCATAGGATACTTTAAGTGCAATAGAGTGTAAAACATTTGGGCTTGAGTCTAACATGAGCATTTCTATTAGGTGCTGTGAATAGCACATTTATATCCCTTATATATACATATTATCAAGGAAGGAATATTGGAATGTAATGGATAAAAGGAAAAATATAATATTTTTTAAGATATTCAAAAACCAATAGATGTGTGTGGGGCAGGTACTCATTCTCCTAATGCTGAAGGCTCCAGACTCAATCTTTGACTCTCTGCTCTATCTCTCTTAGTGATCTCACTAGTTTTATGGCTTTAAATAAAGAGTACCCATTTACCAGTGGCAACCAAATTTACATCTCCCTTTCAGATCTCTGCCACAAGCTCTTAAATTGTTTATACAATTGCTTATTCAAGATATCTATTTGGATGTCTAATAAGAAACTCAATCTCCCTCTGTTAAAACCTGAACTCCTGATTAATGTCCATGCCTGTCCCACATGCAGCCTTCCCCATCTTAATGGAGGCACCTGAAAATGCTCAGGTCACAAAACTTGAATTCACCTTGGACTCCAATCTCTCAGGAAGCCTTGTTGTACCTTCAACACATATCCAACAACCAGCCACTTTTCACTGCCTCCACTGTTACCTTTCTGGTCCAAGCCACTGTGTCATCTTTCATCCCAGATTATTTCAATAGCCTTGTAATTTTCTCTCTTTCTGCCCTTGCAATCCTGCAGGCTATTTTCAACACAAATATTAGAATGATCTTTAAAAATGTAATTCAGGTCATGTGTTGTTCTATTTAACAGTCTGAAGTAGTCCCCTATTTAACTCAAAGAAAAGTTAAAGGTTTTTGTTTTTGTTTTTGTTTTGTTTTGTTTTGTTTTGTTTGAGACAGAGTCTCGCTCTGTCGCCCAGGCTGGAGTGCAGTGGTGCGATCTCGATCTCGGCTCACTGCAAGCTCCGCCTCCTGAGTTCATGCCATTCTCCTGCCTCAGCCTCCCGAGTAGCTGAGACTACAGGTGCCTGCCACCATGCCTGGCTAAGTTTTTGTATTTTTAGTAGAGATGAGGTTTCACCGTGTTAGCCAAGATGGTCTCGATTTCCTGACCTTGTGATCCGCCTGCCTCGGCCTCCAAAAGTGCTGGGATTAAAGGCGTGAGCCACTGTGCCCGGCCTAAAAGTTAAAGTTTTGCACGGACTGCAACAGTCAGTGGACAGACTCTTGCTGCCTTTTTGTTTTCATCTCCTAGTGCCCTTCCCTTGCTCCCTACGTTACAGTCACACAAGCTTCCTTGAATATATCAGGCATGGTCTTGCTTTGGAAACTTTTCTCTGGTGGTTTTACTGGATAGAATGTTTTTCCCAAAGACAGTCACATGGCCAACTCCCTGGCCTTAAAATCTTTGTTCAAGTATCACCTTTTCCACAATTATTCTACTGAAAATAGCACTTATCCCTACCCCTGCCTTAGCACTCAAATCCCCTTCATGCCAGTCCACCTTTCTTTTCTCACAGTAGTTATCACTTTCTAAAATGCTATATAATTTACTGATTTATTATGGTTACTGTTTAATGTCCATCTCCCCTTTTAAATTTTAAACTCCAACGGAGCAAGAATCGTTGTCTGCTTAATTTACTGATGTATCTCCAAGACCCTACAACAATGCCTAACACATAATAGACACCCAATAAATACTTCATGTGGAAGATTAGGTTGATTTGAAATTACTAAATTTGATTCCTTGAAGATGTATTCAGCGGATGAAGAGAAAATACATGAAAATTTCTCCACAGAAATCTAGATCACTCCAAAAGGGCAGGAACAATGGATTATAGTGTAAACTATCCTATTATCTTCTATCTGACATCTAGGGTGAAGTTGCCATAGACCCCCAAGGTGGAAACAGCCAGAGGTGAAGGCGGGATGAAAAAGCAGGGAAGCAATAATCTGCCTGTGACTTCAGGGAAACGGCTGCTCTGAGCCAGAACGGCCCAGAAGTACTAAAAGTTAAAGAGACATTACCCAGGTCCACTCATTCCATTCATTTTATTTGTATAGAGGAAAGTTTCTGTAATGACATTTACAGAATGTTACTAATTACTTTTTGGGGGTAAATGGCTTTTGGGATAGGTTTTTGCTTCTTTGTCATTTCTCTAGTATGTGGATTTTTTTCCTAAAAATTCTTATACAATTAAAAGTTAATTCTTAAAAAAATAAAATTTCCAATAAAATCCTGTAGGCTTCATAATAAAAAATAAAGTTAATATTCTTGAAAGAGAAAACTGAATATTTTAAATTTCTTCTAAGATTCTTCAGTGCAATACTGTACATTATAAGACTTTTAACCACTTTAAGGAACAATGGCTTGCATTAGGAACATTCTCAAAACCAGAAAAATGAAATTATTAAGAATTCCTATAAAACCTGATGTCATATAAGATTCAACAAATATTCTGATTCATTTAATTATATCTATAAAGGAGTGTAAATTTTGTTGTTTTTTTCTTATTTAACATCCATAGCACTCAGGGATAGTTATCCTACTAGTCCTTGATAAAATCTAACCCATAAACTTAAAGAATTTTAAAGACTACCATGTAAATTCAAGGAGAAAAATTATCTTAGTATCCTTCAAAGGAATTATAGTTTTCCTAAAGAAACTATATATAAGTAATAAATACAGAAAATTTCTCCAAACACTTGTATAATATCTTTACCTAAAATGGCATAGCTGGATAAGCACCATGATATTTCTGTGTAATCTTGCCTAAGAAAGGAATTGGGCAACATTAGTTTCTCCAGATCACAACCCATTGGCTTTTATGATTTTGAGAACATATTGTACAATCACCATATAAATTTTATTTTCATTTTCTCTGTTGATAAAAAATGCAACTCACGCTAACTTTTTCATAATATGAGAAGAGAGCCCGAACATACCCAAAAAGGGAATTTCTAATGGAGCTTCTTTATAATTAGCTCTCCAATTAACTATTAACAAGTTGGATATGGTTGTGTTTAATGCATTACATGCTAATTAACAACACTTGTATCACTATCTCATCAACTTACTATACAATAGTTCAGCAGTTATGTCAATAAATTAATTATGCTGTGTAGCATATTTGCATATTTAAATATATGTGTACAAATTAAATATTTATAATTTATCATTCTGCTTAGGAGATATTCCTTTTCTGTGATTTTGCTTGTGTTCTTCTCTACCAAATGCATGCCAATCTAGGGAGTTGTGAAGTATCATTTAGACAGTGACAGTGGCAAAACATCCAAAACAAAGCCACCTAAATAAATGAAGATACAAACAGGAAGGTGGAAATCAAAAGATTCAACTAACTTCATACAGGAAAACACCTCAAATGTAGCTTACCTGGAATGACCTGCTAGAGAATGCATGCATCAATTGATTGGTTCCCCTTGTTTGGGAGTGACTGGCATTATGGATGAAAAGCTGGATACCAGGCATGCTGTATCTCACTACAGTCCATCCTGCATTTAGGTCACAATGACCCCTGGCTCTCTGGGGCTTTGCAGGGCATGGAAGAAGCCAGCAAGCTCCCCCAAACGATCCTGTTATAGATCTGAGCTACACCCCCCAAACAACTCTATCCATGGTAAAACAATAGGATAATTTAAGCCATTTGCCATCAAACTACCACCACTAAAGAGGAAAAAAATGTTATATTCTACAAAGGTTCATGGTGGACAGTTTTCCTTCCTATGCATGGGAACAGACAACTTGTCGTCTGGGTTTTTAAACTACCTAGTTTTCTGAGCCAGTACAATTTGAATACAGAGAAAGTTAAGCTAAGCAATGAGAATGTCTGATCTGGCAGAAAGAGGCTGCCAGTGCATATCGTTTATATTTCAATTATTTTTACCAACTGTATATCTATTTCTGTTTCTAACTTTTGTTGCACTAAGGTATGCACTTCATGAAATGACATACGTAACATTGTAAGATTCTGTCTTATTCTAATAAAGCCTCATGCTAAATCCTTCCACTATTTTGGTAGCAGGGATTGTCTTAAGCTGCCTGGCTTAGATGGGAAAACAGAAACTTCTACCCTGAGTGATGCCAGGCAGTCTCTTTCCCATCCCTTAAATAACCTTTACCTTTCTCCTTTGAACTAATTTCACCCTACCATCCCTTTCTCTTACCCATCTCCCCAATATCTCCTATACCTCACCTCATCCAGAATCAAATGCTGCTCAAATATGCTGTTTTAACAATATGCTGCTTTATGACCATCGAGTTATCCTAGCACTAGTTTCATGCTAGTCTCTCATACTTAATCTTATTTTTTAACTAGTTAAGAAAAGCAGAAGTATTTAAAGGAAAACAAGGAAGCAAACAAAAAAGAAATTAAGAGGCAATATGGGGAACTACAAAACAAAAAGTACACAAAGATATAATGAAAGAAAGTGAATAATGGACAAAGAGAAAGAGAGAAGTCAGAAGAAAAAGGAGATCGGGCAAGCAGAGAATTATTGACATTCATGTATACTGAAGACTTACTCTGGGAAAGAATTGTGCTAACTGTTTTATATACAGTGTGCATAGTAAAATATAAATATATATATATATATATATTTACACACATTGCAGATAAAACAGCACAATTCTTTGCTTATATATGATATATATTCTATATATATAAGCACTGTATATATATACACACACACATATATGTCTGTAGCATATTTACAAGGTCAACTCTTTTACATGAGAAATGTGTGTACCTGATTCTTAAATAGGTTTTGTTAGTTTGCTATACGACAGAAAAAAATGTTTTAAGAATGTAAACTTCATAAAAAGGGAAACAAATATGTTATAATGTGCTCTCTTTTTCTCATTTCCTCCCGGCACCCAAAACTCAATTTTATATTATTTTTGTGTAGTAAAAGTTAATGTTAAAAAGGAAAAAAAAATGCCTGTTGTATTGTGTTTAATATTTTCTGGTCTTATAAGAGTGACTTTAGTTACATGCTCTTAAAATATAGTAAGTTACCATGGTAACTAGATCCTTTGACAATTATTCTATTTTAACACAAACCAATCAAAGTGGTTAAAAATACTCTATTCTTAAATCCTTAGACTCACAGTCACTACAAAAGTTTGTCCTTACCTTCCTTGTCACATTTTTCAAGTGGATGTTTAAGGATTTTTCCCTGTCCTATTTCACCCCTCATCAAGCTGATTTGAACAGGAACAGCTGATGCACTCTGTGATAGTAAATGCCCAGCAGGAATTTTTGCACTTAATTCAAATAGATAAATATCACCAGAGTTTGTTATATAACCAAGAAGGTATTCTGTTTGTTGTTTTACAGAGGAAAAATCAGATTTTTGTTTTAGAGACAGATACTTTTTTAAAAAATAAAGATGCATCATACATTATTTTAGTACACTTATGGTCTAAAACGTGATTTGAATTGCCAATAAGCCATTGTTGAACACTATCAGAAAGAAAAAAATAAGTAGCTACTATTCCCTCTGTGCCTCTGCACCAATTTTATGTATCTCTTCGCTAGTAGTGATCATATCATAATTAACAAAATTTCTAAAGCTATTTTATTCAGAAATCATGTCATATTTATCTTTACAACCCAAGTATATCACCTGGTATTTAGTGGGCCCTCAATTAATGATATAAAGAGAAAAGCAAATATAGTAAAGATTAGTTGCTTTGTTCTTCATCAGTGGAAGTGTACTGTACTGCATAATTAAGAACTAATGCTGCTAAGTTGAGATTAAGTTTGCTTTTCAGGGAAGAGACAAAAATTGAATTATAAAAATTAGTGATTTAATTAAATGGAAAAATATGATTTTCTACTCAAGATATAATATACCAGCCAGGTAAATCTGTGGCAGGGTAAGCCAAACATTGCCTCTTTTCACAAGGGTCCATAGTTTTAGCTAGCTTATGAAGAACATCAAAACTATTTTAGATATATTGTGTAATCCATAATAATCTGTCTCTTGTACTCCTCATCAGCATGTCCATCCCCATTCAGCACGTGGGTGGTCGGGGCTGTCAACCGTCTTTAGATAGCTGCCTCAGCCTGCCTCTGAGGCTTCAGGGGTAAAATATGGTCTTGCATCATGCTCAGACTGAACTTTCCATAAATCACCTCTGGATCTGGGTTTTCTACTATAGTTCCTTTGTACTCTTAAAATTGAGGTCCCCATCCTTTCCCATTCTGCATTGGATCCTTAATGCTCAGCTGGAAACTTGAATGCCTTCACTGAACTCAAATTCACAATTGATTTACAGATTATTTGTATTTCCTCTGAAATACCACATTTTCCCCTATTGTCTCCTTTTCCATAGCCTCCCTGTTATGTCAGGTTATTTTCTCTACCCCATCACCAGAATATGGCAAAGTTGCCAGAGCTGGTCGGTATCCTGAGTCCTACAAAATAATGTGTCTGGCAATCACCATTCAATTGCACTGAAATGCAGATCTTCGTAAGGCAACACCAAATCTACCACATGTCATCTGACTTTCTTCAACTATTGCTCTCTGTCTTCCTCCTTCTGACTCTCCACAGTGCTGACTTAGTTCAAAAACCCAAGTATTTTTGTCTCGGGTGGTGACACATTCGGATTCCATTTATTGACCTTATTTCTCCATTCTACCTAACTTTTAGAATGTCCCACAGCAGCAGGTAAATGACACTCTCTCTATCCATCCCAGGATCATAAGATGTTCATCACTGCATGGCAGGAGGATATAAGCATCTTATCACTATTAAGACTTCTGTACACCTCTCCATTCTAACTTTTACCTAAATTAGTATTTACCAAATAACTCAATTTTGGATCTTTAAAAACTATAGGAAAGGGATCTGGGGAATATCTGTGGATTTCCCTTCACCTTTTCCTATTGTTTTCACATTAGGCATATACAAAAGGCAAAGTTAATTTCCATTCTTATTGTCAATTTCCCTTCCAGGCTAGCATGTACTTCTAGAGAAGAACTGAGATGAGCATCACTTGGCACTGCCTTTGATGTATTCTCTCTCTTCTGCTAAAATAGCCACAATATCTGGGAATCCTCAAATAGGAAAGCATTTGTCAACCTTGTCTGGCCTCTTTGCAGAAAGCTCATGCAAGTGTAAAAAGCGAAAGGAAATTCAGTTGTAGATCCAAGAATCTTCTTTTAGAAATCAGGAACCCATGCATATTCCCAAATTTTGTTTCCAATTGCACTCTACATCCAAATATGTTCAGACACTATTACAGCTATACTTCTCACTTCATAACTCAAAATTAGCCTGAGGCCAGTTAAGCTGTTACTTGCTAGCATGTTAATTTGATCAGAATGTCGCAGAGCTCTCCTGCTTTCTTAATCCTTTAAGATCAGGGTCAGCAAACCACAGCTGTGTGCCAAATCAGGCCTGCCACCTGGTTGTGTACAGCCCATAAGCTCTAGGAATGGCTTTTACAGATGAACATTAGCAATCAATTTGATGATAGGGAATATTATGTTTGACCAATAATTAAGGAAAACATTAACCATCCCAATAAAAAGAACTCAGCTACTCTCATCAGTAGACTTATGTACAAAAAGTTGGACTCAATTATTTTGAATTTCATCATGAAAATTTGTGGAAATTTGTTTGTTATACAAATATTGGTGATTTTGCCTCTCAGGCACAAAGCCTAAAATATTTCCTATCTGGCCCTTTACAGAAAAGGTTTGCTGATCCCTGCTTGATTCCACTTATATGAGGTATCTAAAAGAGTCAAATTCATAGAATCAGAGTGGAATGGTAATCAGCAGGACCTGTGGGGAGGAGAACTGGGTAGTTACTAATCAAGGGGCATAAAGCTTCAGCTAAACAAGATGAATAAATTCTACAGATCTTCTGTACAATATTGCCACTATAGTCAACCACAATGTATTGTATACTTAAACATTTATGGAGGGGCTGGGTGTGGTGGCTCATACCTGTAATCCCAGCACTTTGGGAGGCTAAGCCGGGGGGATCATGAGATCAGGAGATCAAGACCATCCTGGCCAACATGATGAAATCCCATCTCTGCTAAAAATACAAAACTTAGCCAGGCGTGGTGACTCGCATCTGTAGTCTCAGCTACTCAGGAGGCTGAGGCAGGAGAATCGCTTGAACCTGGGAGGTGGAGGCTGCAGTGAGCCGAAATCATGCCACTGCACTCCAGTCTGGGTGACAGAGTGAGACACTGTCTCAAAAAACAAAACAAAACAAAAAAACAAATATATATATATATATGGAGGGAAGATCTTGTGTTAAGTGTTCTTACCACAATAAAAGAAAAACAAACACAGGAACACTTAGCTGGAGATGTTCCACAGAATGCCAAAGATAATTCTACAGGATTTCAATTAAGGCAAGAACTCTAGGAGTTTCACATTATATTTTTCCAGATTAATCTATGTGTATATCTTTGCTTTTCTGCTTGTTATAATGCATATTAATTA